CTGCTTAAGTTTGTAAGCTTGAATCCTGTAAGGGATAATTAATTGCGAGGGGATTGCCGGACTCCACATTAATCCTACCGACTTTCCTCTTTCCAGGATATGTAAATCGGAAAGTTTAATATATCTTTAGAAAATCTTTTGTTATTATTTATGCATATTTATGCTGGCACACTCATCATTTCGTTATGTATAGACTTTCACATGATTATTTGTTTCTGGTATTTATTAGCTCTTGCTTGAACATGAAGATGAAATTGCACCTGATCCAAACGATGCTCTTCATGAAACATTAGAAGAGTTAGGTGACGTTCCTGAGATAGCTCAACTTGTTGGTAAGATTTTGAATAAATTTGTAGCTTAATACTATTCAGTTGGTTATTAATGAAGAATGATGTTAATTGTTTTGGAAAATCTTTTATGTTTTATGCTAATTCAGTTTGTTTTAAATTTTAGTAAGCATATGATTTTAATGATTCAATTATAATTTTTATGACCTGAAGTTTTTATTCAAATCATAAATACTGTACAGTCAGAGATGGCCGAAACCAGATAATTTAGTATTCCGAAATAATCCGAATACATTCAAAAATATTCTTTTCGCATACGAAATATTTAATATATTTTGAAATGGATCTCTTCCACAAGAGAAATTCGTCAAGACAATTGTGGATATATGTAGAAATAAATTTAATCATGCAGAATAATTGAGATAAACATTGTTTCAATTAGTATTCTCTATTTTATTCGGTCAAAAGGTACTTTTTTTGTCTATCATAAGATAATAAATGCTTAAAACGACATTTTCGAATGAAAATATTCTAAATTATCCCTCAAAAATTTACTCTATCGAATATAACGAATTTCGAACGTATTCATTTTGGACATCCCTGTTACAGTACGTCCCAACACCAATCGTCAAGACACCTGGTGTGCTGAATATATACATAAAGTACCTGATATTTTTTGTCATACTTGAATGTCTTGTAACAAAGCCAAAAATTTATAAACGGTTTCTCTCCTTTTTTTTGGAATTCGCTTATGTGTGAATAAATGTGGCTTTGTGCCATACTTGTTTACATTAAATTGTTTTACTTTCAACACTATTTACTTTGGTAACCTCGATCAGGTGTAACTCCTACTGCAAAAGCTCCTGCTGGGAAAAAAGGTAAAGAAGTTGTGTATGATGGTAACCATAATAACATAGCAGCTAACTAATTCATATGCACTATGAGATTAGTTTGTGCTGTATCATTCATACATAGCATATCATCATCTCGCACTTAGAAACTGACAATTCTCCTTTGAGATTTTAAAGTGCTTTAGGTGTATCTAATCTATCTAACTTAGTTGAAATTCAACTAATGGGTGCATGAACTATGCTCACATTTGTCTTTGGATATATGGATGGGTGTTGGTAATTATTGAATTCTGAGATAGGGTAAAAAAATAGCCGTGTTATGTTTAGGAAGTGGATGCTTTGCGATCTGGGTTTATAGATCAAACTAAGGTTCGACGGTGTGGCGCATCGTGCTAAGCATTAGGAATACGCACCTATGATTACCCTCCGTGGGTTCGCAAGTTTGAAACCCATACAGGAATAGTTATGTGCGAGAGGCCGAGAGCATTGCTGGGCTCCTCGTCATCGTAGGGTGGTTCACTTAACCGTTGGCCGGTTTACGGCTTCCTCCACCATCAAGTCCATGCTTCAGAAAACAAATAACTGGCTAACTAATCCCATACCCAACGTGGTAACTGGACGAGGGGTCGCTGTTTGTAATATTATTAAACCGTCTTATGGGCTTCCATCTCCCTGGGATAAATATGTAAATCCTATCTTTTCGCAAAGATAGAGAATGTTGGACAGGTTAAATAGATTTTCTGATTCTAAGAATCAAATGCATTCACTTCCTAAACAAAAACTTACTGTTTGGTCAACTAGTTTCTTACCAACACCCGGATATATAGTAAACTCATCTTTATCTCATCTACTTGATGTCATCTTCACTGTCTACATTTACTTTGCAAATGTCAGCATACTTCATACTTTTATTTCTTCATGGTTTTGGGTGAATAATTTTTATCAGCTATGCAGCAGTGGCTTTATTAATATAATATTATTCATAATTTTGGTGGATTGAGCAGTAGGCTAGAGTTGAGCAATTAGAAAAATAGTTCGTAGCAAAAATATTTTCAAATTATTTTGTAACACAGTATCGGCACCTTTAAAATACTGTCCTGCTTGTGAAGTCAACTGTATACTTAAGTTACCAAACCTATTTTGCATCAATAATAACAATTTAGATTTGAATTGTGGAATAAATTAATTTCAAATATCTTTTTGGTACTCCTATGATGGAAAATGCAAATCGCATACTGATAACACCTTTTTTCGACTTCCATTTTTTGAAATTTCAAAATACCAACAGTAAATAGTGGGTGTCTACCCCAACTCTTTGCCTAAAGATAGGCAATGCAGAATTGGAAAGATTTAACAGCATTGTCTATTCTAGATCTTATTATCTTTAAGTTAGTAAGTTGTGCACATCTCATCAGCATAAAAATTAAATCGAAAGAAAATAGTCAATGGAATAAACTGTTATCAATTACTGGTATTCTTTAATTAAAATATACTACTGATACTACAACCCTAGGTTCATCATGTTATTAGAGATATTCCCCTTAACTGGGTTCTTTGTTATTTTGTATGATCTAAATTAACCTCAGCAAGTGCATTTATTTTATCTTCATTTATGAATATTACTTGCACATACTTGTTCCCTAGCAGTGTTGACTGTAACTGTAACAGAATGTAGTAGACTGCATGCTAGTATATTACTAATTGGTTAGTTTGCATACTGGTGTTAGCTCGGATGTAGCATAGTTAGACATATTCATTCATTCTATGTAATATTACCAACAGCATGTTATAAAACTATATATATTATAGTTCATAATATGCTTACAAACTTGCACGGTTATGTTTATTATAATGTTATCTGGGAATATATCAAATCAACCATATAGTTTCTCTTTGAATTGTGATAATAAATAGCTACAGTTGAAGCTATTCTTGCATGGTTACACGATAACAAATTTATATTTTAATAACACTCTCGCTAACAATTTGTATTAAATTCTATTCAGTATCCGTTAGTTTTGTTTTTATTTTTAGTTTAATTTCTGAATAATATTCAGCAGTAATTTTAAATGTTCTTGTTATGCTCATTTTATGATTTAGTTGTCAGTTTTATTAATGACTATTAAAAAATTATGCATATTTAAACTTATTTTGTGGTTTAAAAAGTATCTTTGAGTTTTACCATTTTATCTTCCAACTGCCTTGACTTTCCATATGGTTTACTTATCTTTCATCAGGTGGTGATACTTCACAAGCTTCAGGTGAAGGTGAACAAGATGAGAAACAGTTGGAACAACTGGGTAATACTGAAGTATCACTAACATTGCTGAACAGAATAGAAGTGAAGGAAGATGATGATGGTGATGTGAGAAACGTATTACTCAGGTAAGTTATTGTATAGAACAGCAGTTCTCAAAGGGTGCAGGATCCAGTTTAGAATATATACTTGATATTCCTTCACAAAACCTTATTTCAGAGCAGTGGTTGACAAACTGCGGCTCGTGCCCCCCTTCCCCCCTTTTTGTGGCCCCCAAAACCTCACTTTTAATACTTGAAAAAACAAAAACGGTTACGGTTTACGGTTTTGTTTTGTAGTAATTAGAATAAGCAAAAATTGTCAGTTGTATGTCAATTACTTGCCATCGTTGGTTGTGATTAACACAGAAACTAGAATATCGGTTAGAAACCGAAGACTTATCGATCGAAGGTTAGGGTATCTCCCAAAACAGTGGTCTTATTCCATAGTGACACCATGTGTCCCATCACTAATTAATTAATAACTCGGTAATTATAAGACATAATTCATCCAAAATCAATAGGCTTCTGATCCGAGCTATGATGGATGCACATGCAAAATTTGGAGCAGGATTCAACATCGCTTTCGTGAGATATCGCGTGCATCTAACACACAGACAAACAGACAGACAAATACCTATCAACATACTTACCGATCTTAAGATCGATGAGTAATAAGAACGTCATAATATGAAGTTTAAGGTGGCGATTGTTTATAAACTAATATGGTCCGCACGCTACCATCAATGTGCATGTTTGGCCCAGTAGTACATAAAGTTTGCCGTCCACTGTTTTAGAGTGTGTTTGGAATAGTAGATTATTAGGTTTTGACTGGTTCTGGCCAACCAAGGTTCCAGTTGTCCCATAAACTCAAGAGCTATGGTTTGTTTTATAGTCTTCTTTTTACTTTTTCAGAACTAAGAGAATGATAATAGACGTGATTCGAGTGCAACCTGGCGACAATCTTGTTCAACTATTGGAAACTGAAGCAACAGATCATCAGGTTTGTAACATAGATTCAATCAAATAGGATAGGATTTACATATTCATTCCGGGGGAGAGGAAAAGTGATGAGACTGCTTAATCATATAGCGAACCACGGCCACTCGTCCTCAAACCTGCGAACCCGAAATGTCAGCAATATTGAACTTGAAGTAAGTCTGTATGTATTATATAACGATTGCATGATAATTATAGCAACAACAAATTGACATGATTTATAATTGGTATAATTACACTGTATAGACGTCTATCGGCTTATTCATGCAAGGAGAATTGTTTCAATTTGGTGACCGATTGGTCCCTCCAACCTAGGTACTTATTAATTCTGGTATTAGTCGATTGTATATGTCATGAGAATTCGAATTGTGTTTTCTGTTTTGATTGTTGAGTAATGACAGGATTTGAATGAATATCTATCTATCAACTGAATAGCAATCAGGTTTTGTCACCTTCTCCTAAAATTTCTTTTACATATAGGTTTTGACTGTATCCTAATGAATATATATATATATATATATATATATCCTTTTTATTTCCATTACTACGATGCTCTTCATGACAATTCAAGATCATATTTGCTCTCATTTTGCATACTTTTATTCGAAAATCTCCATTTATGTGCAATAAAATCGTAAAAAAATTATTAAAAAGAATGAATTGAAAAGATCTTGATAAAAAAAAATAAAAAAAAGCAGCAATAGATTATTTTACCGCTGTACTTGATAAAATATAACACTGAATGTTGGATTCTGTACAAAAAAATATTCAATGCACATACTGATTGTTATAATATCTCAAAATGAAAGAATACTGTACAATTAGTTCACTAATTCAATTCATTATGTCTGTAGACTTGTTTTTAAACTGATGTACCTTGTTGTACCTTGTTTAAATGTTGGGATCTTATCTGTTTGATTCATTAGTTTGAGACCGGTAGAGTTCTCAGATTATTTTTTTACATCGCGGTGTCGTGTCAATATATCCCGCTCTTCATTTTTCTGTCTTGTCGACACACACAACACTGTGTTGTTCTGGTTCTCCTTCTTACCCTTCACATCCCTACCAAGGCTCTTTCCCATCTTTCTTTGCCAGTCGTTCTACTTGAAAATTTCTCTCCATTCTCCATTTGTATTGGATGGGGTGTGAGTTCGATACTGGTGCTTACCGTCATTCCTTTTTTCCCTTGATTGGAATTAGAGCTCCATATTTGACTAGCCCCTCGTCGTCGAAAGACATTATGTAAACCGTTTCGGAATTTTTGGTCTCGTACTGTATATATCAATACATTTACAAAACTGTTCGACATACAGGCGTAGAAGGCAATTGTGTATGGCATAGAGTAGTTTACGCAGTCCAGTTGTTTACCGTAGAATAGAATCACAACTATTATGAAAGGAACTGAAAATGCAATAAAGAAGGGTTAATTCACAGAATTTTCAAATCTTTCGGGAGAAATACTGGCAGTAAAATAGTGATATACAAATATAATCAATATGCAATGGGTCACTCGCAGCTACGAAAGTAAACTTACGTAGTGTTATGCTAAAGGCAGCAATCATAATCGTTAGGGTCTTCAACACTGCTACTTCCGGCTTTAGTTCCGGTTTTGTGTTATCGGCATCATCCCATTGATATCGTCCGTTACTCGCTAGTTTGAACCCGGAAGTGGTCTGGGATCCTATACCACCGTTCGTAGTTCGATGATTTCTTGTGGAATAACGCTTCATATGTGCCGTTGATTTCATCTTCCACCATACTACTACCCCGGTTAGTGCCGTAAATGTTATCTGTTAACGGATAGGTGATATAATTAATTAATCTCTCTAGCATATGAAAGTCTTCACGTGAAAAGTTTATACTATACATTTATTAATGTCCTGATGGCGGAGGTAATAATCGTGACCTTGTTTCTCTATATTGCTTTTGGTGACGCGGGGTTTAATGTGTTTTTTATTGCAAGTTTATATAATAACACATCATTTAAATGCCATAAATAATTTAAAATAATCCAAGCATAAGCGTTTCGAAAGTAAACAACAACAACCTCTGCCCTTTTTGAAATCCGTCAGAATGATTTGAGGCTAATGTAATTCCTATCTGGATAGTTAGAACACACACATCATTTTATTAGGTTTTGCGTATTTTAACACAAAAAATTAACTTTTTAAGATTAAGATTTTAAATCGAAATACCGGTATATATGGCTTAAATTATCATCTGTCTGGATTCTGGTTCCTATCTGGATAGTTAGAACACACACATCATTTTATTAGGTTTTGCGTATTTTAACACAAAAAATTAACTTTTTAAGATTAAGATTTTAAATCGAAATACCGGTATATATGGCTTAAATTATCATCTTACCGTGGCTATATATGGTATCACCATGGTTATTACAATATAGGCCGTTCCTTCCGCATTGGTTTCGGATCCATTTGCTGTCATTATGTAGACGAATAATACAGGCAAATATCGAAACGAGAATTGATACTTGAAAGCAGCTGTAATGTATGAAAGTTACTTATGTAATTCATTGATCTGGCGGTCTGAGTCTACCTATATTGTGACGCAAAACAATCAAAGTTAAAACGTAATTTTGACGCACTTATAAGTTCGCTTTCATGTCATCTTTCACAAAATAGATTTTACGGTTGTTTAAAATCGAAACTTTGTGTCGAAAACACTTCCGGGAATATACCCATCATCAAAGACGAAATTATTTAATAATTAATTATTATTTTAGGCAAATTACAGCGTTCTATATTCAGATAGTATACGTCATCATATTAAAAGTAGTCATATCGTATTTGATGTAAAAACTCGAAAATAATTTTCTGCGAAGTCATCATCACAGTTCACAGGTATAATGAGACGTATACTAGTTGAATCGAAATATTCAAGATTTATGACAAATATTACGGAAATTTCGAACGCACTATACCGAATATACCGCTGGAGAATATTCGTTATTGATCGTATTACAACGTTTGATCCACCATGCCTTATTTAATTTCTACAGCGACTGTGTTATGTAAATATATATTTGGTTTCATCTCTTACCTGGTAGAAAAGACACTAAGATAGAAACTGCCCACACCGACAAAATTTGCGATGAAAGAGACTTTGGTCCTCTCACTCGGTGCCACAAAGGCCATTTAATTGCAACAAAACGCTCAGCGCTGAGATATGTCAAGTGAAACAATGAAGCCTGTGAAAAGTAAACATGAAATTGATCGGAATCGAGTAGTGTTACAAATGTTTCTAATGCGAGACAATAATGCATAAATCGACTCTTATTACGGCCCGGTCGCGACTCGCGAGTAGCTGCCTTTGACAATGGTACATCAATACTCGTTTTTGGCTGTTTGCAAAAATTCTCGCAGTAATCTGTATTTGTTTCAATGAAAATCTCGCAAGAACATGGTATATTTTTATATGAAAAATCACGCAAAAAAATAAGAGAATTAAACATACTATGACTTTACGAATGATCCATAAGTATGGTTTTGGGTAAACCATATTTGCAAAGCAAATTGTTAATTTTGAAATTAATGATGTTTTGAAACGAAAAGTCTTATCATTTCAAATGTCAGAAAACGTTTTGTTTTTTTATTGGTTATTAGATTCATATTTTCAATTAGGCCAACGTTTTGTAGTTTATTTCTAGTTATAAATCATTTTCGAACCTGTGCTGATAAAGTTAGCATTGAACCGGCTATTATAGCTTGGGCTGAATTCGTCATATCTCTATCCTCTTCAGCTAACTGTTGTTCGGTGCTTTGCATCGTACGGATAACATTGGGAATGACGGAGAACAGGAGAATCAAACCAGTTATCATGTCAGCAAATCCAAGTGAAACTGAATTGTAATAAAATTCCGATTAAAAATGTCCGGTATCATATTTACTTTAATCGGCTTTCTCGCCAAAGCGAATTTTAAAATATTACTTATACGTCATTAAAGTTTTATATTTCGTTCATCGGTCGTTTTGCGAGACAATCTCCAACATAACTCTAATACTAACAGTTTGGGACACTTCCATATCTGTTTGCTTATTTTGGGGTCTTTCCAAGCCAATCTACCCGACATAACTGAAATCGTAAAAAAACTGTGTTGTTGGCGTTTTATAGCCAAGAAAAGTCAAATTTATTGTCTCGATTCTATTATTCCTAATTTAGAGATATACCCAAATATTTTCAATATGGCTATGTTGGTGATATTCCCGTCACTGGTAATTTGCATATTTATTTATACGCAATATGTTATCGCGATTTGATTATTTTTAATCAAAGCCTTTGGTTAATTAAAAAAACGCAACATCATAATGCTTGTTGACGTATTTCCCCACACAAATGATCTATTACTTGTACATGTTTTATCACGACTTGATCATTTTAGGTATAATGAATGATTAATTTATCTGGAATCGTGATGTGTATGCATGGTAATTTGCGTGATACAATTAACGTTATTTCTGCACATTGTTGTCGTTATTTCCAGGTTATTAATAAGTATTTCCAAGTCTTTCTCCGTCAAAACAGCATTATTACACACCTTTCATTAAATTGTGATGACTTCTCAATTCTCGATTTCTCCACAGTACCAACGGTAGCAAACTGTTCCCTACTATAATCGCTAGTGATAAAATGATTACGACAAAAACGAATCCTGCTTTCGCTCCCCGTATTTCACACTCTTCCAAGGTATCACTACTCATGTCAAGTGATATGCAAGTTTCTTGATCGCATATAGAAGGGTATCCACACATCCGATAAACTACAGTAACTTGATCACGCGTATCCGAATTATCACTGTTATTAAATTTCTCGATAAGACTTGTGTTATGAAATATATCTCGTCCTGCTATTGGGTTTAATTCAATCACTATGGTTTTTGAGTTATCGGCTCCGAATGTCGTAATGTTTGATGTTGTATGCTCGATTTTTTGTGATGAAGTTGTCGGCCCAAAGTCTACATCTACTACTGGTATCATCCCTCTTTGAAAATCCATTGGCATGCCAGCTTGAATTGTCGATTTTGTTGACGTTATTTTCGTAGGTATGGATGGTTTGCTTTTTATAGTCGTCGGTTTTAAGGTTGTTGAAGTTTTAGGTTTTGCACGTTCTGTTGGTTTTTTCGGTTGTAGCAGTCTCGGTATTGGTGGATGCGGTGCGATTGATCTGGAATTCGTGCTAGTTACCGTAGTCGTTGTTGATTTTGTCGTTGTTGAGGTGCTTGAATGGCCTGGCACGTCTGGTGGAATAGGAACACCGGGTGGAATAGGAACACCGGGTGGAATAGGAACACCGGGTGGAATAGGAACACCGGGTGGAATAGGGACACCGGGTGGAATAGGGACACCGGCAGGAATAGGAACACCGGGTGGAATAGGGACACCGGATGGAATAGGAACACCGGGTGGAATAGGAACACCGGGTGGAATAGGGACACCGGGTGGTATCGCAATTCCGTGAAACGGTCTGAGGCCCAGCACTCGGGAGTTGTCTTTTTTGGTGGTTGTTGCTGGTTTTTGCGTCGTTTCATTGAAAATCGGGAATGCCTGTTTCAAGTCTATTTGCACCTCATTTCCCATCCTCAGCTTGCTCGGGTGATCCTCATTTGTCATGGCAAAGCTATCGGGAAGTACGACATCGATTTCTGGTGCCAATGTTAAATCTAGTACCTCACTGTAAAATGGATTTATACCATACCCATACGATGTTGGATTTGGTGTGCTCGGTTGCAGCATGATATTTGAAGTAACCGCGCTTTGCTCCACCATGTCGAGTGTAAGCAGATCATTTGAAGAACTCTCTTCCGTGTCTTCCACAATGTTGTCATCTAAAATCATTGGCGAATTTACAATCCCATTCACGGTATTGTCCAATACATGTCCATTGTTGTCAGGGTTGACATTGTCTATAAAGCCGAAATTGTCTTCCGCAAGTAAATCACCTTCGGTGTTTTTCACTCCAATTGTAACATTACTTCCACATACCACAACCAGGAAAACTAATCGAAATATAAGCATAACCATTAAACTGTATTCAGGCTCAGTTTACGCCAGGATCCGAAAAGAGATAAACTCTAGATTGCTAATTAAATCTTAATTCAGAAAAAAATACTTTAATTAAGTTGTTAATCCTTCCCGCATGACTCTGTGTTGGCCTAACAGCTCAGCGCCGATAACACGACAAATAACTTGCATGCGTGTGATGAATGTTGCGCAAAGCGATAATTACCGAATTTCCTATAGGCAACATGTTTTGAATGTTATATAAGAGTATGCAGGGATGCCCATAACGAATCAATATTAGAATCAATTATATTCGGTACAGCAAATTCTTGGTTTTTGAACTATGAAGAATATTTTCATCTCAAATTTCTTCATTTTGAGCACTTGACATCGCATGGTCAGACGAAAATAGACTTCCTTCAACTTGCAATTGTAAACTTGTATTGTAACTTGTATTGTAAAAATAGAGAATAAGAAAAAAATCTTCATCCCAACTTCTGTATTATATATACTTTAACATACTATCAGTGACAGAATGCTATGCTATGTAAAGTTATTTTCATTACTGGATTCAACAATTTCTGACAATTTTCTTTGCTGGACATGAACTAATTTAAAATATACTGATATTTTTTAAAATGTTATTCGTATTGTAATTTATTCGATTAGCTATTAAAACTCATTTATTGTAGGCAATAAGTAAGTTAATATAATTAAATAAGTTCGTAGACATGACTTTAATTAAATAAGTTCGTAGACATGACAAATCCAGTCTGTCACCGGTCTACCTTTATGTCTTATTATGAAATGCTCTCCCAATATTTCTTTAATATATCTACCAATACACTTATGTGTTCAGTTTTGGATTAACACATGTAGTACAGTAATTTTGCACGCCATCGAGGACAAACACAATTATCGAATGAAAATAAATTCTTGCTAATATTAACCTAATCAACACGTTGCCTTGTATTATTCTCCTGTATTTTCCACCTCATTTCCGAAAAACCTTGTAACATTTTCTGCTTATTATATATTATTTCGTGCACTTGCCGTAGTGCTTGTTTCTTCTATACAGTTGGGTTTGAATGTAAATTTTTTAGGAGCTTGTTTCGCGAATAATCCTATATTGATACAAAAAATGAAAAACAAAATTCAATCTGACCATGAATTGAATTTAACATCAACGGAATACATAAACCTATTTCTGTACCAAATATACTCTCTCGCACCGTCTCCTATGTGGTACTGTTCGTTACTTGAAACCTAGCTTTATTAATTAACTTCTGTCAAGTTATTAGCGCATTTTATCATTGTGTCATATAAAGATAGTATACATCGATCACAAAATATTCAATCATTAAATTTATCAGGTCCGTTAGAAAACCAACTTCACTAGTTTTACACTACACTCTTCAGTACTCAATATTTTTCTTTTCAAAACAATCTACTGAAATTTAGATTATAGTTCTGCGTCCTATTATCCGTTCGAGTCGAACGTTATAATTAACGTTTATCCTGAATAATTTGCCTACAAGCTAAAATATCATCAGGTTAAGCCAATTTTAGGCTGATCTGAAATGCTAAGTGTTGTAAGTTAAGAGTGTCTCACTTCTGCGCCCAAGGCTATCTAATGGACTTCAATTTCAACCACATCGCCCCTATTATTTCATACAAATCGACTAATGAAGCGTCTATTTTTGTCGATCGTTCATCACCAAATGACACCGCATCTCTGACATATAGTTAAAATATTCTTGAAAATGCTGACTGCTGACGTCATTTCTTTTTATTTTCAAGCTTCGTGGAAGAAAATCTATAGATAACTTGGTGGTCATAGATTATTTATATGGAAATGTTGTAGTCCAGTCATGCATTGATATAATCTGACCACGGGGCCAGCAAAACTGTGGTTCGGGCAATGCCAAACCGTTTATTCCATAAATAGTAGCATATCAGTAGATTATTGTGCAAAGCCTCGTTCCGAGTGATGTCTTATTTAAACGCTTTTGTATTGGATTACGATAATGTGTATGTTAATATCTACATTACTTTATACCAGGAATGGGCAGCACGTCGATCGTGATCGACTGATCGATGGCCACGTCTCGAGTAGTCGATCACGTCTTATGTTGAGTGAATTTAACAACATACTCCAAAAAATTGCTTTGAACCAGTTACATGTAGCGTCTGTTGTGTGTATTAAAACAGGAAGAATACAGTACTGTATATACACTATTTAGGTGTGGACAAGTCCGATAAAGCATACGATTACGTGACAAATGCGAGTTTTTCCGCTGCCAAAGTTTAGTAATGAACGTGCCGAATATCGTGTGTCTTGATTGCCTGACAGACAATAATTTCTGCAATATGCAAAAGTTATTGTTTCACTTCCAAGAGTAGTGTGATAAATTGTATTAGTAACGGTAGCAGTGACATCAGAATGCCCAATTTTTTCTAATTCCAAGCGAGCGAAGAATCGGACTTGGAGAAAATTGTAAATTAGATACTGTTTAATCAGTCATGTAACATTTATAGTTTGAGAATATTTATTTTTTGTTGTTTAAATAATACGTGATTACGTGTGAATACGCGAGTTTTTCGATGAATTCTTCGGGTACAAATACACAAGTACATAATCGAATCAACAAATTGAATGGAACATGAAAATACAAATTTTTTTGTCGATTTCTGTAAGAATGCGCCCACAGAGCCGAGCTTATTTGTAGCCGTGGAATTTTTGTATGCATGTGTGTAGTTATCTGCATATTCAATACTTTTTCGTTTCAGTGAATGACCCTATTACAGATCAGTCGATCGCGAGCTATTTTGAAGATTTTAGTCGATCGCGGTCGAAACCAGGTTGGCCACTTCTGCTTTATACAATCGCCTGAAAGTGTTAGATTCGTCATCAACACAGACGAAACATTTCAAATCCAAATTACAAATACTAACATGTTGTGTTTCCGTTGACATTATTACCGTATCTTACGCGTTACCAACAGTACTGAAACTACTGATGACACTCGGATTCGTGTCATATGTCTCTGAGTTATAAGTTTGACTCGGGCTATTTACCAAAGCTGAAAACAGATCATTTTTTTTGTTTAGACTTGAGTTTTGAAATATCTGTTTAACCAATTAAATGAATTTCATGTGTTGGTCCTTGATTTGCCGTTCCGTATTATTTTTACTAGACGGCGAATATGCATCCTGAACACAATGCGAACTCTCGAGCTTTGCATATTGCATTACATTGGAGTGAAATTTTGCAACAGATATTGATTGACCATAACCTTTCATCGAACACCTCGCTGGTCGCCCTGGCTTCTGGTCAGAAGTCGGGCCATCTTGAACTTCTTGGCTCAGGGCAAAACTCTGCTTGGTGTGTTCAACTAAAAATATAAAGCCTCACTATAACCCGGTGTTATTGACTGCTTACGTAGACCCTTGTCTGCTGCAATGCTTCATTCTAACTGAACTGTCAGGTATGAACGTCACGATCAACATTTATTCTATCAACACGTTTGATTGCTTTAATGAAACAGCACGTCTGCATTGACATCTGTAACGTGCTGTACATTTATAACGTGCTGTTTGGCACGTCGTTTTCTTAAATGATCTGACGATTTGCGTTTCGCACAGCATACTCCAGCGCGTCGGTCATTTTGGTGTTTCAGGTTGAAATTGATGAATCCATAACTACCGTAATTACTACATGCTGATTGGTCTAATATTCGGTCCGTATTAATAAACACTCAGACATTGAGTTTCCGCCTGAAGTACATTGTCGATTACTTGATTAGACAGCTCAATGATGGAGTATTCAAAGCAGTGGTTCCCAACCCATTAACCCTGTATATTCCCACCTTTGCATGATTTGAATCACTATGCAGAAAATCTTATGTTCGTTATTTGTTCAACACTAAAATACCTTAGCTAGGTATACGCGCAACTTGGTTTTACTTAGTTTGAACTTTTCATAATGTGGGATTGTGGGCATAAATAGGCATTGCAAAAGTTATAGTGCCACATTGGGACTACTCGTAATCCCAACCCTTATCGGATTTAATAGTGGTTTAAACTGGATACTGGCGATTAAAATCTCTCACCTCGATGCTTGCTTTCCTTCAACTATTGACTTAAATTACTTCAGTTATCTCGTGTCACGTTCCCCACCGTTTTTCTCGCGACAATACATTTACAAATATGGGCTGGTACTCGGTATGACTAATTTTTAAAGGTATTGCCGTAACAATTTTACAGCTTTAGCGCATCGCCATATTTATTTTTTGAATGTGTTGTGCTTAAAAGTAAAGGCAACATGTATGATCATCTCGATTTTTTATCGTAGACAAAGGATTGGGACAATTTAAAGCAGTTTATATGAGGAAAACTGAAAAACGTGGACTCATTGATCAATTCTGCAAGATTGTGCATTATTCACGTTGCGGTGAAATAGAGCCACCACATATAATTTTTTTAAATTGAGCTCGTTGACACTTGTTTTCCCAGTTTTTGCTATAACGGCCATATTACTCGTTTTCGTTCAAACAAAATAATGATTAGATACTGCTACGCTCACAATTCACAAATAACTTTGGAGGGTGAATACGGACTGATGTTGATCAAAATAGATCACCTTTTTTATCGTCAAGCTAAGTGGCAATATAAGCAAAGGCCAATCTGACGACAAGCGGATAATTTGGGCTTCCCTCGATCAGGCTGTATCGGATACCACCAACTCAGTACATAATATACTACCACTCAGTATTTTATTGTGAAAACCCAGAATATGATATCACGTAGATAGTGGTTCTCAAACTTTTTAATCCGCTCCTTTAGCCGCCAGAATTTATCAAGTCTCGCGCCCCAACTCAAACATAACTAGCTGACAGTAAGCTACAAATAACGAATAGTGAGCCGAAAGTATGTATTATTCAAAAACACGCTGAAAATACGTGGATGGAACGTAAATATTGAAATAAATGTCTTAGGCATGTTGCGGAATGCCTCATCAAGATTTGGGAAGGATGCGGAATTCCCATTTTGAATTCGCCGAAATAAGGCGTACAAGATCAAATCTAATAAATATTTTCATTTCAATTAGTTCCACGCTCCCTCAAAAATTGTCTACGCCCCTTTTGTGGGGGGCGCCCCACCGTTTGAGAACCACTCATGAAGATGATGTGATTTGTACCGTAAACGCAGTCAGAACCCCAATCTTCATACCTTACCTCAAGCCCAAACGCTGCCTGAATAATCGGATCGTTTTTTGACTTGTAATCGGTTTACTAAACATTTGAAAGCGTAGAATTAATATCCTCGTAATTTTTCTTTCTCTGACCCCTATTCCGAAAACCTTCCTGTTTTATTTTCATCTGTAGGATTTGTGTCAGCCGTCAAGTGTATCGATTATACTCAAATCCTGTACGAATGGCGTACACCGGGTATGTTAATAAAAACCCAAAAACGCTATTGATTTACTTAATAAATTGAGGTTTATTCATCAAAATTTATCCTCACTACATAATACGAAATATACCATTTTCATGATAAAAACAACATTATATGCAATTCAAAGGGTACAAACTGTCAGTATTCTGATAGTATATCAATATCAGAATTGCTTTTATAGTAAAACGAGTCCTTGAACACCACGTCACCACATTAATTGGCATTTGATTCTTATTGATCTATTATTGATCTCATTTTTAAAAGTATACTTTCTATTCAACACTGGAAACCACAGTTAAATATATGATTCGGTAGCATTTTCCTATAAGCTAAACCCATGGGATCGACCGTTTTGTTATTATAAGGTTTCCCCAAGTTCTTGGTCTTCTGAATCTGAAGTCCCCTGGTTCCAACTTCGATAAGATTATTGCTTAGCCCAAACTCTGCGCCTCATACGGAGTTAGTAAAGCCAACAGCTCCCAAACCCACTTCTGCATTCCATTTCTTTTACGGATCTCAGGCGAGATCGTTCAGTAAAAATATCAAGCGAATATGTTCAATATTTTCCGTCTTTAATTTTTCATTTCTTTAGGTGATGATTTTTTTGCGTTTAATGGTTGTAATTTGGAAGATCCCGCACTATCATAATTTAGAATTACAACTTCCACTTGATGCGTTGGTAGTCGTGGTCGCCATTGGCTTATTTTCTGATCTTTTGCTAAATAGCTTCTTAACTGCTGTTCTGAATCTTTCGTCTCGAAAACTGTAAATTATCGGATTGATGAGGCTGAAAGGATAATGAATGAATATTTATACTCCTGTAGTATGTGTACCAGGTTAGGGTAAGGCCATAATTTTATTCCGATTTTCCCTATTTTGGTTCTATTACGAGTTCTGTGTCAGTCCAGTAAACATACCACCTGCTCATAGCCTTCCGTCGCTTTACACAACTTGATGTAGAGTAGTCGAACAAAATTAGTTCCCTCCAAATTGGTACGTACACTCCTGGAGCGCCTATTTATATTGGTATATTCATTTATGCATGTACTTAGAGAGAATAGAATACAAATCTAGATTACTTACCCGTTGGCTAGGCCGCCGTAGAATGTAAGAACGAATGAAGTAGTGTATGTTGAACATGTCAACGTCTTCGCTACAAATAGGATCAAAACGATCCCAAAGGGAACTGAAAATACATATAATTTAATTAGGATTTTTGTATAAGGTGTCGTTTGTGATCGCGTTGACTCGGGAAATCTGTGATCTTAATTCGAATCGACTGAAAAGTAATCATCCATAAAAGTAGTCGATGGTCGCCAAAAGACCAATTAAAAGAACTAGTATGCTCCTGATAATTTGTCTGTATTTTCAATATGACAATTCAAGAAAACATTGCTTTCATCAGGTTTTCGTGGCTTAGTACAACAGAATTCCCAAATGATGTTGTCTGTCAGGATTATCCACTAATGCCACACATACGAGTTGATTTGATACCATCACATAAAAGGAATTTGTGTGATGATCCCTTTCAAATTCAACGATCAACATTCCGAAGGCACTGTATAGCTGCTCTAGCATATCAAGAGAGAGTATTGGACAAGGCGCTCATATAATTTGTTTTAAAAAATAAACCTACGTATGGTTACTGTGAATCCAATAATCATTGTCACAATAGTAATGAATACTGACACTTCGGGCCGCAATTTTTGTCGTAAGCTCGTCGTTGGTTTAAGTCGGGGTTCTGCAGCCACGCCAGTGGATGACTGTTTACCGTCAACAACAGCCGAGCCAGATGCGGCGTGGAACTTTCCGCCGGCTCTAAATGTTTTTGTTCTTGATTTCAATTTCCTGTATGATGAAATACCCGTCAAAATGCATACCACCAACTGAAATGACAAGAAATATCGGTTTAGATAGTTTTAGAACTCAAAATCCACGCTTACACACAGCACAGGGTAATTAATTCAAAGATGATCAAACACTGCGCGATAGAACATATTAGTATTACCTATTTATTTATTTATCTATCAGTACAGCAGTACAAGCTCAACGCCTCTCGCCCGGTCGCCGTTCCGGCATTAGAAAAACTATCCGGTCCTTTATTCCAAAAGTTGACACTGTGCGATAGAACATATTAGTATTTCTTATTTATCAGGGTACAGCATACAAGCTCAACGCCTCTCGCCCGGTCGCCGTTCCGGCATTAGAAAAACTATCCGGTCCTTTATTCCAAAAGTTGACACTGTGCGATAGAACATATTAGTATTTCTTATTTATCAGGGTACAGCATACAAGCCCAACGCCTCTTGTTTGGTCGCCGATTCTGACATTGGAATAACTATCCAGTTCATTATTTCAAAGATTGTCAGTTTTTGGATACCATAAATAATAAAGCCAGATCTCTATAAATTCAATTTCGGCCTAATACAGTGGTTCTCAAACTTTCATGATCTATCTGTGCCCCATTTCGGCCCCTGCCGAAATACCGGGGCTCTGTTAGAGAAACCCTGTTGTAATTATTGTTTAATATATGTTTCCAATTTATCGCACTACCATACTCGTTTCCATAATGAACCCTTACCATAATTGTAAAAGGTAGAATCATGGTAATCGACGTGTAGAGAGGGCCGTGTATTCCGTATTCTACTTTTCCCGATGTTCCAATTATTGTTTTCAACGTCATGTAGTGAATTAACAAAGATGGTTGAAATATGTATTCAAAGTATTGCGGAAATTCGGCTGAAATAATAAAATAGTGAAATAATATATTTTAGTGAGTACATTTATTGACAAAATTTTGTCTCGTTAACAGACATTACAGACTCCAATATTTCACGCCTAATCCATTCCAAATAATTTCCGAATATGTAATACACTTCACCTGGAACAAATGCACATAGAAATGAAGCTATCCATAACAAACTCAAAGTCACGATTATTGTTCGAGTTTTCCGCAGTAAATGCCAAAATGGCCACGTGATGGCGATAAATCTCTCGATGCTCAAGAACATGAGATGTAGAAGAGAAGCCTGAAAAAGAACGCACGATTTTATATCACAAGGCATATGAAAGGGTTCTCTCGTGTATTAGCGGTGAATCGTCTACTATGATTTGTCACATTTTATAATTCGCTTTACTCCGTTTTAGCAATACAATTGACAATATTTTTTTTTTGACTATTAGTTTGTATCTACAGTTATCCCCAGACAATGAAATAAAGAAGCCATCGTTTGGCTATATTTCAGTGTTAAATATCGTATTGTGAGCAAATCTTGAACTTACTGATCTTCTATTATACCACTGAACTCAGAGTTTTGTGCCAAGTACCGCGAAATGAGTGCCCCTCTTCCATCGGAAAAGCACACCATAAAAATTTAAATAAAACGTAGATATCATTACGAGTTAGCATTATATTATATACATAATAGTTAGCTATATTACATATGGCGAGCGTTTAAATTGATTTTGTATCTCTGCCAGATTTGCTTAGAAAAACCGCAGAATATATGGTTGGCTGTATATGAAGGATTTAATATACTATAGCGACAGAGGTGGTTAACCGTTCACCTCAGCATACCTTCCGAGCACCGCATCAAGTATTGCATTCTGTGTAATCAATCAGTAAACTATTTATGGTTCACGTTCCTTAGTTTTACAAGAACGCAGCTGGAGGTCTTAAACTTCACCTTCACTCTGACCTCTTTGCTCATTGCTCATTTTAGATTTTGACTTGTGACCCTCTTCAACCACTATTTAATGAAAGTTTTTTGGCTGATATAATCGTCTTTAAACCAGTTTTTGAACTGTTATGGACGAATAATTGATATTTCATTTGACGTGGTAATGTAGTAATCAAGTTTGAATTGATTTTAAGATTTAATTAGGAAAATTTTGATATGATTGAATTTAACTGGAAATAAATAGCTATGGAATAATAATGGTACTATTGTATTGCTGTTGCAGCAGTGAATAATGAATAATAAATTAGTTGCAACTTGCAAGGTTTCCATTACCTACCAAATCCATATTCAATGAAGTCAAGTTGCTTGGCGGCCTATTAGGTAAATGATTATTTCTTTCAAAACGTTTATATTCATACCCAAAGTGGTGTGCTAATTTCAATTAGGGCAATTCTGGTAACTATGGCAAATAGTAACTCTGGTAAGTGGTTACTAAATCTAAACCAAACATGCATTTATTTAAAACATATTTTTATCAACATATACAAATTTATACAACTACTGACTCTTCATATCTACAAAAAAACTTGTGTATTTCTGATATACTATTGAAATATCTCTTCAAAATTAATCGTTTTACCTGTCCCGACATCGTCAACAAAGATCCAACTATGACTGCAGTAGGAGAGTTTGTATCATTATGCAGCATTTCTACCACTTGTTTTTCGCTATGTTGTCTGACCCAAACCATGTTCGGTATCACGGCAGTCAGTAATAAAAAGCCAGGAATCATGTCCGCAAATGCTAAAGAAACTGTAAAAGTCAATAATTCCCATTACATAAGATTTTGTTTAAAATTTTAAATGGGAAGTATCATTATGCTTCGTTGTTGTGTACATGTTTGTGCCAGGAGCTTGCGATAAAATTGCGCTACATTACTAATCCTGTTACAAGTATGTTAGCGTGTTTTTTTCGGATTACACTTCAATTTTATCAATTGTTCGAAATCGTAAGCTAGAATAATTAGGTTGACTCAATTTTTTGCAAAATTCATCCAATCCACTTCGTATTCAATTCGCGTTTAAAAGAGCGTCAAGATTTTTACGTTCGCCATTCCCTCGATTGCTGCACAAAGTAAGGCTATATTCATGTCTTCGAAATTAAAGTCACTTCGCGTTATTTATTTCTGATACTAACCTTTTATATAATCATACTGCGTTCTCATGTCAGATCTTTGCCATACAACAATAGGCAACAGGCAGTTAAGAAAAATAATACTCAATCCAAGTGATGCGACGAAAATTCCAAACACCACAACGCCACCCCTGTACTCACAGAGTGACAAATGCTGTGTATAATAGTCCAAGTCACCGATACAGGCATCACGATTGTTATAAATTGGATAACTACAGAGGCCCTCTATCCATTTGTCTTCACTTTTGGACGCATTACTTTTAGATGTATTCCCGTTTGAAGGAGAGATTTGATTTGCTGCTGGAGTTGTACCAACTTCTAAAATATCAGGCACATGCGTGGTTAAATTCATTTTTCCCTCCGTATTCGTGGTATCTGAATTACCTCGTAATCCTGACGGTGACATCGGCGACATTGTAGGAATCGGCCTGTCCATTGTCGCAGGTACTGCGATCATTGAATGTATAACTGCGTTAGGCGTTGCCATCGTTGGTATTAAAGAAGTAGCCTGTATAGTTCGTTCGGTAGTGACGGGCAATCCGAGTTTTTCTTTTTCATTGGCTTGTCCTAGCTCTTCCGTACGTTTTTTTAACGAATCGGCGTCGCCGTTCTTGTTATATTCAGACCCATTTGTAGTCATTTCGGAATCCAAGCCTTGAGGAAGACTACAGCCACAAAAGAGGATTAGAAGTAATATTCTTAAATATTTCATCGTACTTGTTTGAATGCCTTGATCGTTCTGTGAAAATAATAAATCTTAAGAATTTGATAGTGATATTGTATTTGCGCCCTGGCTCGTGTAGCCTTCTCCATATCTGATTAATCATAACATATCCAATTAAATAACATCCCAGAGTAAAATCAGAGAATTCAAACCTAAAATTTTTGACTCGTTACCTGTTCCTCCGCACCGTCTGCGAAAAGCATTCTCACTTCTCACTTTATTACATAAGGCCCAAGACGAATATTTTCGGCGTTACTACAGAGTGGTGTCTACCGCACCCCAACCATTGTCTGTCGCTTCCGAATGGATATTAATCATTCCCAGTCCTATTTCTAAGCCGACCCTAACCTCAGACTGCGCCTGGGTAGTCCGGCAAGGTGATGGTCCTCACGCAACTACAGTATGACCAGCAAATATTATCTCGAACTGAACGAAATATTGGAAAGCCGGCTTAAATTGATTAGTGAATATATTAAATAAAACTCATAGCCCCATCCTCGCACAGAAACATATCACGAACTAAAGCGATTGGGACTACACTATATCTACAATTAGATTATTTCGTCGAGAAATGTCATTGCAACCGCACGCGTTGTCTCATCAGTCCCATAAAAATATCTCACCGCGTGTTACTTCTACTTTGCCTCAATATAGTAGCATCCAGCGATAAGCACGACTCGCAGTGGCAATTTAAATTTACCCACTTGGCCCAGTAATAAGTCGCGATCTGGACCTCGCCATATTCCCTAGGGCACCGCGTCGTAATCTTACAGCTACGGGGCAGCATTTCACTGTTATTTACTTGCATTTTTTTATGCGATCCTATTCATGAAGCCGCTGGAAATAAATAAAAAATTCTGCCCATTAAAACTGTCGTTATTTATATTTATCAATAACTAGGTAGACCATAGCTTTTCTTACGGTTCTCCTGACGTTATAAGCTGTCTAATGAACTATTACGAAAGCCAACGCAATAGTATCTTCATCTAATTTTTCGTGCCCTGTTTCAAATCATACACTTACATCACGAAAACGTAATGTTCAGTGTCCCAACGCTCAAATACAACTTCCGGCGCCGCCGCTCGACGCTCAAAGTACAAATTCATTCCATAAGACGACGCCATCTAATATAAAGTGCTATTCTTTGCCTCACACACGCGAGTGACGTTATTAACCTGGTTTAAACACAACAAGAGTCGACCTGGATTCACGGTGTTCGTCATCGTAACAACGCGAATGGGAACGATGTGACGAAGCTGAATTGTCATACTAAACAGCGCCTGAATTCTGCGAAAAATTAATGTGGAACTTGAAATGCCTTGATATCTATGGTTACATTCAATAGTGTTGAATGCAAAATTAATTTTTAGTTTCAATTTGTCCTTTCACAAAATGTCGTTTTTTTATACAATTTTTATCGATGGCAATTTTGCTTCCATGGCGGCAACCTAAAGAGGAAAGAGTACTACGTAAGAGATCCAAACTATAACTAAACTCAGATGTCATATATATTAAATTTTGAAATTGTTTCCGTAAGCATCCCATATTATAGATATAGATACTTTATAAAGTGAAGATCTTAACTCTTCAAATCACCCCATTTGAATTCTTCAACTTCTAATTATAATTTCCATTAGCATACGGTAGAATGGGAATTTGTGTGTTCCGAGTTTGTCTAAAAAATTCATAGGCTTCCATTAATTCTGACTGCTCATTAGACCAGATCTTGTATATCAGGGATGACCAACCTGCATTCGACGACCGTTATCGACTATAATATTCAAAATCATTCGCGATCATGTTGCATCTAATATGTTAATTGGACACGTTTAGTGGCCATAACGATCGTTTCAATATTATGTTGTTGTTGTTCTTGTTCTTGTTCTTTGACACGTTTTTAAAAAATCGCTTTTCTCTTCGAATACTGGACCAATTGCTTTAAAATTTTCAGTGGTTGAAGATTAATTTCTTCGCTAGAAGGCTATTACTTTTATTTATTTCAAAATTTTGCGTGAATTCTATGAAATTTGATATTTCGTCTAAAATTTTGCTGTATTATTTTTTATCCATGGGAACACGGATTTTAGTCAGTGTCATGACTGGCTGTACGTTATGATTCTGCAAAATTCTTGCTACTGGAAATTCAGAACTTTTTTGGGGGTACCGGTAGCGTCAAAGGTACCGGTAAAGACTGATTCGCTCTGGTCTAACGTGTCCATATATTTGTGCGTAGCTCTCTTGTTCGATTGTGTAATTCTAATCGGAGTGAATTTTCATCACTTATTTAAGATTTATTCGAATCATACAATTCAAATCGAAGGGATAAATATGTAAATCCTATCCTATCCCGAGGTCCCGCCTTATTCTTCGTCGTAAGTGTTGAATATTCCCTGAAAAACCTACGAAGTATCCCCGTTATCTAGACAGCGAAAAATAAATAACTTCAAGCCATAAATGATACATGACTGCTCGAACTTCAGTATCTAATCTAGTTTACAATTTCATCCAAGTCCCATTTTTCGCTCCGTTGGAATTAAGAAAAATGGGCAATCTGATGCTACTGTTGCGAATATAATTCATCACACGACTCTCGAAGCGAGACAACATCTTTCGCATACTGCAGAGATTGTTGAATGATCGTTTCCATTCAACACACACGATAATCCGCACGTTCATTTCACCTTGGCAGTGGCGATACTTGCAATTTTTACGTAATAATATGCTCAATCAGGCGTGTCCAGACTCGAGTACTGTATATGCCAGAGGTGGGCAAAATTTTTTGTTTTAAGAACCATACTAAAACATAATTTGTCTTAATCATTGATGAAAACTACTTCAACCGCTTGATAATTTTTTAAAAAATGTTACACTACAGATTCTCTTAGTTAAAGTTGGGTAATAATTAATGTTAGCGAGAAGAGCCGCATAAAATCTCTTGCGAGCCGCGGTTTTCCCACCATTGGTATATGCAATCACTAATGTATCATATTTTGCGCATGTACACTGTGCAGTACTTTATTCGTGCTGTTTTGAAAACACGACAGGCGCTGCATGAAACTGGTTCAAAAACATCAGAGACGCTATCGACTACTCGAGACGTGCCGATAGACCGGTCAATCGTGGTCGATGTGTTGGCCACCCCTGTTGTATTGTATATGGATGGTTTTTCTATTCACAATTTTGTTTTTCTTTTTGTCCACTTAAGTGAAAATCTCGCATCAACGTGCAGCTGACATCGCTTCTTTTATTATCTTTATTTCGTATATATTAATAATGTATACATACATATACTGCCGTATCACATTATGGTGGCATATCAAAAACATTCATCAAAGCTATGTTTGCAACACAGATCACGAATTTTCGATCCTGTTGATTTGAGTTGATTTCGAAATCGTAAATTTTCAGTTCACGAATTTTCGATCCTGTTGATTTGAGTTGATTTCGAAATCGTAAATTTTCAGTTCGTGTAACCGAAAATATTCATTCTTTGGAAACCTATAACCTCCATATGTTTGATTCGACTTATTTGGGGTTAGGATTTTCAAAAACTTTTGTGGATATTTCCAACATCTTTTAAAATATATATCTTTCCATTTGCAGCAAGAGGAACATATGGCGAATATACAAAAACTAGAAGAGCGTGAAAAACAGAAGAAAGCTGCAGATGAAGACGGAAAGAACATGCTGAAAATGAGATCCTTATTGACTGAAAACAAGTTACCGCTCGAAGACATGAAACGAAGAATTGCCAAAAATTTAGAAATTCTTGAACAGCATAACATCGTCAAAAAAGAGAACAAATACCAAGCGATCGTCAATATGATAGCCAGGGTGAGTTTTAAACTCGGAGAAGCATGAGCGAATTTTGCTCTTGTCCGCTCTTAACTAAAATTTTGTTGACATTAATTTGACTTTGGTTGGTTGAGTACTGTAAAAATATAGAGCGTTTGTTAGCATTGACAATTCATTCGAATGAACAATTTGATGTGAATATAGTACTTTTAATTTTCTTTTTTTATGGAAATTCAATACATAAAATTTCAATATATTGTGTTTCGACACACTTCCTACTAAATGTTAGGATTTTTATTCAATTTTGTGTAAGTTGATCTTTTGGTTGTAATTAGGTATTGAATATTTACCAGTAAAATAAACTACGTAAGTTCAAAAACAACCCATTAGTGTTTATGAATACAATGTAGGAGAATGTCCTTAAAAGTGATGTACTTCGAAATAGCTATCTATTGTTAGTTCCTCGCTCTGCGCCAATCGCCCTACAAGGAAGGCAACAGTAATTCGTTTCTTCCCAGAACCGCATTTTATAACTTGTTTTCGGCGTGGTAACGTTCGACACACTTTAATTTGATTATATTTGACGTTTGATATTGTGGTATCCCGCTGGTCTTCCCAATAATTTTGTTTTCTGTTGATTTTTTTCGTCGCTATGAACTGGTTCAAATAGCCCATCGGGATTTGAATTTTATTAGAATTTAGAAAGTCTACCATAGTTCTAGGTATTATGATCTCTTATGTACTGCATTGACATCACTAGCGCATTCATACATGGGAAATTTTATTTCAAGTATTAACGTATAGTTTGAAAATATAATAAAACCTTTCCAACAAATCCAAGATATTTTCTCCAATTTGAAGTGCTTATGATTGACCTCCCCGCGTGACTCTCAAAACCCCCTTGAATTGTACTTGTTTATGGGAATCGTGCTTCCCTCTGAAAAAATATTTTGCCCTGGCATTGTTGACTCTGCTTTGCGGCATAAGTAGTTTTCACATGACTGGGTAATGTACTTGTCTTAATCAAGTCGTATCATGATTGGGCCGAATTTGATGTTTTGCATTTTTGTAATTGCGAAAGTCAATCTCTTGCTTCCATACTTATATTGTAAAACCGAACATTTCATTCAACCGCTGATTCAATTTTGCATTGCACATTACCCTGTAATTCCATTTTCGCTATTTTCGGTCAGTGTTAATAAAAAAATAATTACGTCCCATGCAAGGCGTATTTCTGTTCATCGATTTTACGA